AATTAACACTACATGACTTTAAGACACATATTAATCCCAAATCAGTAATAGTAGGGGACTTCAGTATCCCACTGTCTCCATTAGACAGGTCAACTGGACAAAAACACAACCTCTGGGACACATTAAAAGGAGTCCCGCGAGGGAAGTTTATAACTCTAAGTGCCTACATTAAAAAATTAGAGAGAGACAAAATAAAAGACCAAACACTGCAACTAATGACCATGGAAAGTCAAGAAGAAATGAAACCCAAACCCAGCAGAAGAGAAGAAATAACAAAAGTCAGAGCAGAAATTAATGAAATAAAAACAAAGAAAATAATACAAAGAATCAATGAATCTAAGAGCTGGATCTTTGAAAGCTAAACAAGATAGACAGAACCTTAGCCAAGTTAACCAAAAGAAACAAAGAGCAAATCCAAATCAACAAAATCAGAGATGAAAGGGGAAACATCATAAAAGACAATCAAAAGATCCAGACCATTATAAGGGAATATTTTAAAAGTCTATACACTACCAAATTTGAAAATCTAAAAGAAATAGATGGAAATCTAAAATCATGGGAACCACCAAAGTTAAACCTAGAAGAGATCAACAGTTAATCAACCCTTATATGTTTAAACAGACCCATAACATATAAGGAAATTACAACAGTCTCCCAACTAAAAAAAGCCCAGGCCCAGATGGATTTACAGTAGATTTCTACCAGACATTTAAAGAAGCCTGCAACCAATACTATTTAAATTATTCAAAAAGATAGAAACAGAGGGAGAACTACCAAATTCTTTCTATTAATCCAGGATCACTCTAATACCCCAAACCTGGTAAAGATACAATGAATAAAGAAAACTCTAGATCCGTATCCTTAATGAACATAGATGCAAACAATCTGAACAAAACACTTGCAAACCACATACAGACAGACATCAAAAAGATCATTTACCATGATCAAGTAGGCTTTATCTCAGAGATGGTTCATTATATGCAAGTCAATAAATGTCATTAATCATATAAATTGGCTCAAACACAAAACCACACTGTCATCACCATACATGCAGAAAAGGCTTTTGACAAAATTCAGCATGCATTTATCCTCAAAGTCCTAAAGGGAATTGAACTGGAGGGAACATACTGCAACATAATTAAAGTTATATATAACAAACCCACACCCAACATTTTTCTAAATAGAAAAAACTGGAAGCATTCCCATTAAAATCAGGAAGCATACAAGGATGTCTACTATCTCTATTCCTTTTTACATAGTGCTTGAAATTCTTGCTAGAGCAATAAGACATAAGAACACAATTAAAGGAGTACTAATTGGAAAAGAAGAGGTCATGCTATCACTTTTTGCAGATGGTATACTATACTTAAGACATCCCAAAAGTTCCACCAGAAAAGTTCTAGAACTGATCAACACTTTTAGTATAATGACAGGTTATAAAATCTAAAAAATCAGTAGCCTTTCTATATACCAATAACAATCAATGGATAAAGAGTACAAGGAAATGCTCCTATTCACAATAGCTGCAATAAAAAGGAAAAATATCTTGGAATAAACATGACCAAAGACATCAAAGATCTCTACAATGAAAATTTTAAGTCATTAGAGAGATTGAGGAAGAGACACTAGGAAATGGAAGGACCTCCTATGCTCATGGATTGGAAGAATTAATACTGTGATAGTGACCACTCTACCAAAAGCAATATGTAGATTCAATGCCATCCCAAACAAAACCCCAATGGCATACTTCACAGAATTAGATAAAACCATTCTCAAATTCATATGGAAGCACAAAAGGCTCTGGAAAGCCAAATCATCTCTGAGCACAAAGAGCAACACAGGGGGATTACTATACCAGACCTCCAAGTATACTAAAGTATACTACAAAGCTATAGTCTAAAAAAGAGCATGCCACTGGCACAAAAATAGACAGAGCTCAATGGAACATCATTGAAGATACAAACCCGAGTACACGCAATTTCAGCAACCTGATAGTTGACAAAGGTGCCAAGAACACACAGTGGAGGAAAGAAGGCATCTACAACAAATGGTGCTGGCAAAAGTGGATCTCCACCTTTAGAAGAATGAAACTAGATCCTTAACTTTCACCTTGCACAAAAGTCAACTCCAAATGGATCAAACATCTCAATCTGGAAATGGAAACTCTGAAACTATTAGAAGAAAATATTGGCAGTAACTTACAAGATATAGATGTAGGAAAGCCTTTTCTAAATTAGACAGCAGTTGCTCAGGAATTAAGATCAGCGATCAACAAGTGGGACCTCATTAAACTGAAAAGCTTCTGTACATCAAAAGAAACAATAAAGAAGTAAAGAAAACACCAACAGAATGGGGAAAAAATCATCACCAGTGACAGATCTGACAGGGGTTTAACATCCAGACTATATAAAGAACTCAAAAAACAAAGAAGCAAGAGAGCAAATGACCCAATTAAAAATGGGCTAAAGATCTATACAGAGAGTTGTCAAAGGAAGAAGTAAAGATGACTACGAAACATCTCAAAAATTGTTCAACATCGTGAGTAGCTAGGGAAACACAAATTAATACCACCATAAGGTATCAGCTTAACCAAATCAGACTGGCTAGGATCAAGAGAACAAATGAAACCAAATGCTGGTGAGGATGTGGAGAAAGGGGAATGCTCATTCACTGCTGGTGGGATTGCAAACTCATGCAACCTCTATGGAAAACAGTGTGAAGAACTCTTAAAAAACTAAAAATGAGCTGGAGAAATGGCTCAGTGGTTAAGAACACTGGTTGCTCTTGCAGAGACCCAGGTTCGCACTCCAGCATCCACATGGCAGCCAACAGCTGTCCATAACTCCAGTTCCAGGGGATCCAACAGCCTCTTCTGTTCTCTGTGCGCATTGCACAACACGGGTGCACTTACCTACATGTAGGCAATACACACATACACATAAAATGAAAATGATAAATAAAAATTTTTTTTAAAAAAGAAATATTTCGTCCTGGAAGGAGACTACTTAAGACTAGAGAATTAAACAATTCACAAGTCTCAGAAAGTTCTTGAAAACTTGTACAACCATATTTGTTGCTGCTCTTTTCACAATAACTAAGAGATGGAAGCAACCTGTGTCCCTCAACTGATGAATCATTAACAAAAATGTGGTATATTTACACAATTTTAATTCTATTCAGAAATAAAGACAGATGAAATAGTGCAATTTGCAGGTAAATGGATGGATCTAAAAACTGTTATACTAACTGAAGTAAGACAGACTCAGAAAAACAAACAATATATGCTGTCCTTCATATGTGGATCCTAGGACTAAATCCTTTTAAATTCCAGGTCCTTTTAATAAGATGATGCTATATAGCAGTCCCTTCTGTATGAAATAACTACCATCATCATGACTTCAGCTGAGCCTGATAGCTAAACATCATCATAATTGGGCTTGTTGACAGTTGTGCTCATTCATTAAAGGAAGGCCAAGCAGTATCATTGGACCCTCACCACATTATCCAGCCACTCTTCCAAGCCATCTGTATGTAATTTGTTCCTAATCGCAGATGGCCTCCTGGATTTGGATGGCTAAAGAATATAATCTTGGGAAGCGTAGGAAGAGAACTCATCACCCATGCTGGGTAAAGGCTTTCCAGTGTGCATACACTCAGTCATACATATACCTCAGCAACCCCTCAGTTATCTTCGTAAGTAAGCTCAATAAATTCAATGGTTCCCCAGGAAAACTTTATTCAAACATTGGCTTGACACTAGAACTTTCAGAGTGAATAAGCATTGCTTAGCATCCCCAGGAAAAGAAGTCTCACAACAGATGAAAAATTTAGTTTTTAATGCTATTATGTCTCATAGTTATTAAGAAAAAATGAAAGAAAATGAGAATGTAGAAGATATTAAAAGGCTATGGGAATGGAGATATTTTCCAAAATAGAAAAAATGAGAAAGCCTAAGCAAGTGATGAAGTTCTGTTTAGTTTTTTTATGATATATAAAGGAAGAGACCAAAGTAATATACACATAATCTTAAAATTTCTTTGGTCATAGTTTAGTCAACTATTTTAAGGAACAAAATATATATCTAGTCATGGTTTATCTGAGAATATTTGGTTCTTTACCCAGGCCTTATCTAAGTATCACATGATAATTAAAAGTACCTGACTGGTGTAACTAACTTTATTGGATGTTTAACAGCCATAGTTTGAGGCCTATACTAATGTGGTCAAGGGACTTAAAGGACAGTTTTTGTGCCTTGCCCTCCAAGGTTGACTGAGTTCCAGGGGACTATGGAACATCTCTTAAGATGTCCTGTAACTGTGGTGAGTCACCTGTCCTCTTGTTTAGGGAGGACATGGAGATCCCACGAGATGGACATGAACCAGTGTCCAGTCTACAAAGAGAGGGGTAAACTCAGAGGAAACATGTCATTCGTGCTTCCAAGTGAAGCCAGACATGGTCAAGCAGGACCTTTGACTTAACTTCACATAGATGGAACTGGTAAAAGAAAGGAGCCAGAAATTCCTCTCAAGCCTATATGACCCCTGAGGAACAGATCTTCAAATGACCTTAAGTGTAAAAATAAATTGATTTGAGCCAACTGTATGATTTTAAACATCTGAAAGGAAAGTACAACCAAAGAGTAAAGCCATTAGTATGTTTCTTTTTTTTTCACTTAAAAACATTATTTTATTACAAGAACAATACTTGCTAATCTTATGTCTAATTTTATCCATACTACAAATGAAAATTATATGTTATCATAGTATAGAAGTAAACAAACTCCAAAATACTATCCATAAATAAAATAAACTCAACTTGCAAAATTCAGAAGAACATTAAGATACCTACAGGCATAAACACTGCAAAGAATGTACCAACAATGTCTACAGTGCACGGAGAGCATAAACATGAGGAGTTCCATCAGGAAGAGTTTAAATGTTTGTTTGAACAATTAAAAATATTGACAAAGATACTCAAATACAGAATCAGCTAAAAACCATTTAATTTTCCTCTTTTTTCAAGAAAAACTGCCATGCTTCTTCCCAGGCCTGTTGAGGAAATCTGTTAGCCAACTCCAGATAGGCCCAGGAATCAATGCATTTTCCTTTGGGATGGTAAGACTGGTTATCTACCTGACCTGGAGTCTGTGCAAAATCCTGAATGAACATGGCCAGTAAAAGGCTGCTCATCTCCTGCTCCAGAATGATCTTGTTCTGACTGTTGTGGTAGCAAGCAGTAATAAGTGAAGGGCATAGGATTTTGATCAACCGTGGGTCGCTGAAATACTGGGAGGGCAGCTGGCAGTATATTTCTTTAAGAGTACAAGGGATTAAACTTCCCAGACATTAGGCTTCAGTGTCTATAAAAAGATATTTAGACAATTATTTCTCATTGATGATTTTGTTCCTCACCAGAAACTGCTGCTCATATGTAACACTTCAAATCTTGGTCTCCAATACTGTAGTGGCCACCTGTAGCTAAGGGAGAAAACCAGATATTTTTCTAGAGTGATGGAAAGTTTTGTTTTCTCCTGTATCTAGAAGCCTTTGAGAGGGAACTGAAACTGATTCTAACCAGTCCATCAGCTATCAAAATACTTGAAAGCAAATCCTAAATCCATCACTCTAGATTCCAGCCTTGGAAGACAAAAGAAAAATTAAGAGAAACCCAATAAAGGGATACTTTTTGAAACCCCTGTCAAGAAATTCCATGGCATCTCATATGACTATTTGAAAAATGCCCTGTTCTGACTTTTTTCTAGTTTCCTGTCCAGAATTTGTAATGCTAATTATTCTCACCTTTCCTTCTCCTTCACATTTCCTATTCATAATTCAAGGACTTTCTCTTTAGAGAAAAGAGTTATGCAATTTAGGAGTATTTTAGACAGACCCACTAAGGAGTACTCCAATTGTCTCACCCTGCATCCCTGTTCAGCATGGAAAAACCAGAGTGGTCTGCTTCTTGATTCCTTATTGGAAATTTCGGTAACCTCTTCAGAGGATGGTGTGATAAGAATAGGAGGTAGGAATTGGCTAAGCAATTAGGGTAAAGAGACCCCAAAGAAAAGTAGCCAGTTTCTTGGCTAAAAGTCAAAATGTCCTTGGGCCTCTTAGCAGCATACTCTGTTCCAAAGGCCAAAAATGTCAAAAGTATTTGGAAGCTTGTATCTAATCCTTAAAAGATTTTAGGGTTACCTCTTCAGAGAGGGGAAAGTTATTGCGTAGCCAAATCCCCATAAAAATAAATAAATAAATCAAAGAAGAACCAAACCAAACCAAACAAAAAAGAACATTAGGGGATCACATGGCCATCTCAATAGATGCAGAAAAGGCCTTTGAAAAATTCAGTATGTGTTTGTGTTAAAATTCCTAGAGGGAATTGGACTTGAGGGAACACACCTCAACATAATTAAATATATATTCAACAATTCCACAGCCAACATCATTCTAAATGGAGAAAATGTGGTATCATTCCTAAAATCAGGAATAAGAAAAAGCTCTCCACCATCTCTAATCCTTTTAAATATAGTACTTAAAACTCTTGCTAGATAAAAAGACAAAGAAGGAAATTAAAGGATTACTAATTGGAAAAAAAGAGGTCACATTATCCATTTTTGCAGCTGATATGATATTATACCTAAAAAATGTCAAAAAAATTCCATCAGAAAACTCTTACCAATGATTAACATTTTCAGGAAAGTGGCAAGTTACAAAATCAATCCACAAAAATCTGCAGCCTTTCTATATACCAATAACAAATAGTTGAAGAAAGAGCACATGGAAACCCTTCCATTCACAATAGCCTCAAAAAAAAATCTCAGAATATATCTGACCTACAATGAAAATTTTAAATTTTCAAAGAAAGAGATTGAGGAAGACACCAGAAGATGGAAGGACTTCCCATGCTCCTGGATTAGGAGAATTAATATTGTGAAAATGACCAACCTACCAAAATCAACACACAGCTTCAATGCAATCTTAATCAAAATCCCAATAACATTCTTTACATAATTAGAAAAAGAATCCTAAAAATCATATGGGATCACAAAATCCCTGGACAGTCAAAGCAACTCTAAACACAAATAGCAATGCAGCAGGTATTAGTATACTAGATTTCAAATTATATCATGGAGTTGTAGTTATAAAAACAGCATGGTACTAGCACAAATAGACGTGAAGATTATTGTAATATAATTGAAGACACAAACATGGGTACATGAAATTTCAGCCAACTGATATTTGACAAAGGGGCAAAGAAGACACACTGGAGGAAAGACAGCATCTTCAACAAGCAGTACTGGCAAAACAAGATCTCCACCTGTAGAAGAATGAAACTAGACCCTTATCTTTCACCTAGCATAACTTTCAAGTTCAAATGAATCAAAGATCTCAAGGCGAAACTTGAAACTCTCAAACCGTTAGGAGAAAAAAAATGGCAGTAACATACAAGAAATAGGTGTAGGAAAGGACTTTCTAAGTGGGACATCAGTTTCTCAGGAATTAAGGTGGGACCTCATTAAATGAAAAAGCTTCTGTACAGCAAATAAACAACCAAGGAAGTGAAGAGAAAGCCCATAGAGTGGTAGAAAAACTTCACCAGTGACATATCTAACAGATTTAACAACCAGAACTCAAAAAAGAATCAAGAAAACAAGTGACCCAATTAAAAGATGGGCTAAGAATCTACACAGAGATTTCTCAAAAGTAGAAATAAAGATGGCTAAGAAACATCTTAAAAAGTGTTCAACACCATTAGTAATTATGGAACTACAAATTAAAATCATACCAAATGCAGGAGAGGATGTGGGGAAAGGGGAATGCTCATCCACTGTTGGTGGGATTGCAAACTTTTGCAACCATTATGGAAAGCAGTGTGAACTCTTAAAAATCCAAAAATGAACCTACCATTTGACCCAGTTAGACCACTCCTCAGCACACACACAAAGGGCCCATTCTTTTGCAAATACTTGCATATATATATATATGTTTGTTGCTGCTCTTTTCAGGATAGCTATGATGGAAGGGACCTATATGTCCCTCAACCGACAAGTTGATAAAGAAAATGTATTATATTTACACAGTGGAGTTCTACTCAGCAGTAAAGAAAGATGAAACCATGAAACAACTATTTCAACAGCCCTTGATTGCCTCTCAAACCTAGGTTTGATCCTAGGTGGGATCCTATTCCTGGGTGGGATCCTATTCCTGGGGGTAGGACATACTCTAGATACAGGATTTGGAGCAATGGAGCTAGAACTGACCTGGAAGTCACTTTTTATGAAGGATATTTCCCATAGCTTTGGAGAACAATATTAAGGTGCCAAGGGAAAACATCAATCAATGGTCCAACACCAGCTTTAATACCAAATAACCACATCAATGACCAGCACAGCAAACAACATTGGTGCCTTACTGGTACTTCTTTCTTGGGAGTAATCAACAGATACCTAAATGAGAGGAAAGTAATTTGTTGAACTATAAAAATGGACAAATACACATGACTGGAGAGATCAGAGATCATATAGAAAACCCCAAGGCTATTACATCCCTAAACAAATGTTATTTCTTACAATGTGAAAAATAAGGATACTTATAGTTCCAGACAAATATCCCAGCCAACACTAATCAAAGAAGCTTCTTTTGCACAAGACAGAGACTATTACAGAGTACCACAATTGGACACACACAGATATTGGGTGTGAATTGCCCAAGCCTCAGTGGCACATCTACAATTCAGCCTCTACACCTAAGACTCAAAGAACATAGAACAAGGATAAAGAAAATGTAATGAATCTCTCAGTTCTCATTAATGAAGCACCCTCATGCAACAGAGGGCCAGGAACACAAAAGGTTAAAAAAGGTCAGAGCACAGAGAGTAAGAGTCTGTAGAATTTAGGTCTTTGGACAGGAGTCCTATATTAAACCTCGCCCACCCAGGGCTCAGGGACCATTGTAGAAGAGTGGGTGGAAAAACTCTAAGAGCCAAGGAGGCGGTGCATGACTATATGGAATTAGATTGTTACAAGCTCCTGGGACCCCTGCTCATATGAACCTAAAGCAATGGTATCAGGAGGCGCAAGTCCTATGCAAACTCAAGCAGATCACAACCCAGCAGAGATCCAGAGAAATGGGCAATAGACCCCAATCTTAGTTGAAGAAATGTTGGCAGTATATTATTGCTGGGTGATGAAGAACTGATCTTCTTAAAGAAAGGGACTCTAGATAGGCTGAATAGACCTCAGTAGATGAGCTTGCACTAAGGATTGTCTGGGGACACTAACTTGACACAATGGCCTTAACACAAATGGCAGAATGTATGAATTTTAGTGGGGAGGCTATGGGTGGTTAACAATGTGGAAGGGGGTATAATGATGATTAAGATTGATTGAGAGGTTCTGTATGAAATACACAAAACTTCAATAAAAAAATAAAACAAAACAAAGAGTTTAACTTTTTGCTAACATTAGGTATTATTCCATTCTCCCGTCATTCAGCTGGTGGCATCTATCTGGTTACATACTCTGTAAAAAGTCTTTAAGGATGTACAACCAACAAAACTTTGATGAAAAATATAGTTCTTTATTGTTGACCACAAAAGTATAGTCTATTTGACATACAGCTTTTTGGTTTCGACTCATTTCTTGAAAAGTAATTTATTGAGAATTCCTTTCAGGGTTATAAGCATATAAGATGTTTTCATCAAGTCCATGCCCACTCCCTCTCCTTGAACTCCTCCCATATCTCCCTATCACTTTTTTTCTGATAACTTCATGTACTTTTTCCTTCTTTTGTTAAAAGGGGCTTTCTGTTTTTGAACAATCACCCCTCTAAAGAAGTAGCCCTAAAATCTCTTAAGGATTAAGTGAGAGCTCGCAAATACTTTCCACATTTTTGGCCTTTGGAATCGAGAATGTTGCTAAGAAACCCAAGGACATTTTGACTTTTAGCCAAGAAGCTGGCTACTTGTCTTTGTGGTCTGTTTACACTAACTGCCTAGACAATTCCTACCTCCTATTCTTATCACACCATCCTCTGAATAGGTTATGTAACTTGTGGATAGGGAATCAAGATACAGACTACTCTGGCTTCTTCCATGCTGAACGGGAATGCAGGGTGAGGCAATTGGGGTACCCCTTCTGTAGGTCTATCTTAAAGAGTCCCAAGCTGCATAACTCCTTTCTGTAGTGGGA